GTATATTATCAATTTTTTTTTTGACACACAATATTATCCAAATTTGGATAATATTGTGTCTCAGTGAGACGTATTTACTAGTTCGTAATTTATGTTTTTTTACCTAAATGACATCATCTTCAATCTGTTTTTATTTTCACATCTTCCAGGTCTACATAACTGGACGGCTCCGTTGGTCACTTTTTGCGATCATTGTGTCGCATAAGCAAAAAATAGCATCTTCTAACTGTTTTTATTATTTTTACTTAGATTAGTGTTACAAACTTGTTTTAATATTAATACATCTTAAATACCTATTTGTAAGATTTTGTAAATAAAATTCATATTTTTATATAGTTAAAACCTGAAAAATATTGATGTTTATTCATATATAATACAAGAAAACTTGAACTTAGCTAATCCTAATATTTTGGATGCAATTGTAAATGGCATAAACTTAGCTGCAAACAATAACTTGTCTGATTTCATAAAGCATCTTTGGCAAAGGTTGCATATACACAAAAACTCTAAAATTCAATTTGAAGAGGATAACAAACTATGGCTACAAAATGAACTAATATCAGTTTAATTTGTAAATGATAACAAGAATATTCAACTAACTGCTTCCATTGATCAAGAAAACTCTACTCTTATCCTACTGTAGTATCTGGCAGGCCCCCCAGGTGAATTTTGATACTTTAGGTAGAGAAACAAAAAAAAGAAGATTGACACCATTATTTGCATCATAATTATCTTACGAACTATTGTTTGCATCAGGTTGTAGTTTGCACCAAGATGGTAAAGAAATAGTAGCTAAAGCTGTTTTATAAATATCAGAATATATTAGTTTTGGTTCGAAAAATAGTTTTATTATTTTTATATTTTTATATTCACAAAAAGGTTTAAGCTTTAGGTTTCTTTTTATATGGGTTATGTAGTAGTAGTATATATATATATATATATATATATATATATATATATATATATATATATATATATATATATATATATATATATATATATATATATATATATATATATATATATATATATATAATATTTATATATATACTAGCTGACATGACCCATAAGAATGTGAGTCTTTGTATTTTTCCTTATATATTTTTATATTATATACTTTCCTTCGTGGACATATATATTCTAGCTGTCCAGACTCTTAAAATATGGGCCTTCACTAAACCATCCGTTTCTATACTTATTTATTCCTCACTGATCGTTTCTATACTTATTCCTTATTTTTTTGTCAACGGTGAAAAAAACAATTCATTAAAAAAAAATTGCTTTAAGAGCAAAAAAAATAAACATACCCACCTTTTCCACATATGTATAAGAGATTTTTAAAATGGTTTGTTTTTCTCCTAAATGCATATCTTTGATAGCTCAGTGGTTTAGTGCGCTGTCATCAGTGTCCTTTTCAAGGGGTTTAAGTCCTCCCTTTGGCATAATAAATTTTGATTTTTTTTCAATCTTGTCATATATAATTATAACAAAAAAAAAAATATAGCAAAAAAGACTTTTAATTGTTAAAATGAAAATTTTAAGATTTTTTCTAGCAATTTTAAGATTTTTTCTAGCAACTTTTTTCCTCTACAGCAGTACCTTCCATGGAAGCAGGATGAGCTTATTATATCTCTATCATGACATATGCAAAACAAATTTCTACTGATGTTTTGATATTTTGAAAAATTTTAAGTTTTTTTAAAAATTCTCTCTTTTTTGTTGATTATAGTATATAATATCCTTATATATGCTAATATATATCCTTATGCTATGTATATCAACTATTATATTATATAATATCTATGAATATAATATATATTCATAGATATTATATAATATAATATAATATATAGGTATGTATATAATATCTGTAGAATTTTAAAAATCTTTCATTTTGTACTTTAAAAAATTGAAAAAATTTTAAAAAATAAAAAAAAGCGCAAGGATTTGAACTACATTGATTCAAATGCTGCATACCATTTTGGCCACTAAGATGTATTGTTCAATGAATGTTTTAACACTATTTAATAAACAAAATGTATATATATATATATATATATACATATATATATATATATATATATATATATATATATATATATATATATATATATATATATATATATATATATATATATATATATATATATATATTTATATACATGTGTATATATATATATATATATATATATATATATATATATATATATATATATATATTTATATATATATATATATATATATATATATATATACATATGCATTTTTGAAACATCAATGTTCTCAGCATTGGTTTTAGTGAATTAGTTATTATAATTTTTCAGTTGTTTTTAAGATATCAATTTTTGAATTAACTAAAACATTCTTATTTTTGTAAAAATATATTGCCATCAAGCATTTAAAAGCAACATTCGAAGTCCAATTTTAGTTTTTTCTTAAATCAGTTTGAAACAATAAAAAAGCTTGAACAAATAAAACAGTTTTCAGGATATTATCAATGTTACAGAAAAAAAAAAATAAGAGAAAAAAAAAAGCTATGGAAAAAATGCATTGCCATTGAAAGTTTTAGGTTGGATTGTAAAACTGAATTAGAAATAGATGAACTTTTATTTTTATTTTTTTATTTTTATTTTAGTTAAACTCCTCAAAGCCAATAAGGCCACTACAGTCGAGGAGGCTACTTTAGTTGTGGTTGCAACCCTCTCTCAACTCTATAACTCCGAAACACAAACCTTGACGAATCATTTTAAGTGCTGACTGAAAAATTTACTTCACGAGCAAGGTCGCTGCACAAAAAAACAAGTTAAGTGCAGTACTACCAGGGATGTGGTGGGGATCCAACTCGGAACTCCTCGCTTCTCTCTACCATTATACCACTACCACATAATTGATCTCGTGCTCAGATGAAATCTGAATCATTAGATCAATCTCATGACTCAGATGAATTTGGTTTTGAACTTTGACAGTAATTTGCTTAAAGAAATATAAATTTAAAAATTACAGTTTAAATGTCTGCTACCTAATTAAATGTCTGTTAGGGCATTGTGAAACTTCTTAAAATATGTAAACTCAAAAACTGAAAAGGTTTAAAAATTCGTGGCAAGCTTTACATCTTGGCATATTTCACTTGGCAGGGAAAGATTTATCAAAATTCTCATTATAAAATAAATTAATAATGACTACAATCATCTAATAAAATGTTTTTTACTTTAGTGTCCAATCTGAAAAGCTAAGAAAATTTAAAATTCTTTGACCTGGAGCTTGTCATGGATTTATGGCTGATGCTCTATTTTTTTAAACTAGAGATGACATCTGCTATTAAACATTTTATTGGAAGAAAATGTTAATGAAATAGAATTATTTTTGTTGTTGCTCTGTTCTGATTTCTTGAGCAGCACAGAGCAACAACAAAAATGACATGCTGTACTTGATGATTTGAATGCTTTTAAAATGGCATATGTTCTCAAGGATGAGTTTAATGCTGGTGTTGGGAATGCTTTGATTACAACTTTTCATAATCATTGATGTTATCATTTTTTTCAGGACTAGTTGTGTTTTTGCTAGTTGATTTTACTTACTAAATGTCTGTTAAATATTTAATTTGAAGTATGTAGTTTACTTTCCAGTTCTACAGCAAAAAAATAGTTATATATGGAAAAGCCTAATCAAATTTTACCTTTAACAGATAGCAAGCATTTAGAGCTTGTGATGGCTAACTTCTGGCTTATATTTATATGTTCAAGAATAGTAAATAAAGTCAAAGATTGTTTATTTTCATCCCAACTTCTCAAAAATTAAATCATATGGGTATTTTAAAATATTGCTAAAGGACTTAATAGAACTAATGCTAAAAGAAACTCTCCGCTAATAATAATAATAATGCTAAAAGAAACTCTCCGCTAATAATAAACACTCTTTTCTAAGTAGCAATGTCTGGTTGTCCTGCAGGGCTACTAACAGACATTTTTTTCAAAATTGAAGTTGCCCTTTTTAGAAAATGAGTCATCTCTTGCTGCCGGACGACCTTGAAGTTCTATCTCTGTAATTGTTTTATTTCAAGTTTGTTCAAAAACAGTAAATTTTACTGTCAGCACTTAAAATGATCTGAGACCAAATTTTAGCATATATTTATCTTCCACCTTACTATTCAAAAGGAATTATGGGTGTACAAATGATTGAACATTATCAGAAATGTAACTTTTTGTTTTTATGAACAAGATGTGAACATTATTGCTAATTGTTATGAAAATTATAACCATGAACATTTATCAACATAAACTCTGCTTATTAAATTGAACTCAAAATAAAAATAATTATATTCATTGAATGGCAAAAATGCAAAAAAATAAAAAAACAGATCAACAGATCAAAATAGACCAAAACAAATTAAAGCAAAAACTTTTTTGATATCATCTTAACCTTCTATATCATCTGAACTTCAATTCATTTTTTTAATTTATTTTTATTACATTTTTCAATAACAAACCATCATATAGAGTAGTAGTGTAGTGGCTTTTTCGCAAGAAGTTTTAAGTTATTATTGCCATGCTTCCATAGTACCTTGCTTTTCTTTGAGTGCCTTTGTTTGTCTAGGTTAGTGTTATCGAGTTATAAAGTTGAGAGTGTGTTGTAACCACAATTAAAGTAGCCTCCTCAATAAAGGTCCTCTTGGCCTTGGGGAGGTGAATTAACATAAAAAAATATATATGCATAATTTTTTCAATTTTATATTTTAAATTCAATTAATATAATATTGGATTCATATAATATTTTACAATCATGACTTAATTTAATCTTGCTTGTTGCTAATAAATTTTGAAGATTTTAATTTATAGCAACTAAAAATAAATAAAAACATTTGTTTTTAGAATATTAAAATCAAAACAAAGCAAAACTTTCTTTCCAAAAAAAAAGGATTTTTCCCATCTACACTCATAATTGATTATTAAAATTTATAAACAATATTTCTGATTTTTATATTTAGTGTTTTTATTACTTAGGTTTGGGCAGTAGCACTCGACAGTAACAACTATTGTTGTTCACTTTATAGTTTAACTTTTTTGAATTTTTCACAATGGGTTGAGCTGCTTGTTATTCCTGTACACAAACCTGTTGATGTATTGCAAGTTGATAAGGTTTGGAAAATTTTTTTTAGATAATTGAAAGTAATAATAACAAACAAAATGAATAAAAGTTTATTTGCTATTAGAGCAAAGGAAATGATGAATGTAACCAATTTAGCTGTATTGGGTCTGTAAACCCTTGTGTAGATGAATCGGAAAAAGAATCATTGGTTCTCAAAACTAGACTGTGTGCATCTAAGTAAGAATTTTTATTATTATTTTTGTTATCAATTTCTTTTGTTTACTTTATTTTTATTTGCATTATTTTAGAGCTTTAGGTATTTTGCTCTCCCATCTAAGTACTGAACAGAATTCTTCTTCTTTACTGTTTTATATTGAGAATCTTCTATTATCTGGATCAGCTACTCAACAAATGTGTGGTTCTTTTGTCTTACATGAATGGCGAAGAAAAAATGAGGTTATTTTTTATATTTTTTGATATAATTTATCAACTAAATTCTTACTATTTGTATTACAGAATTATTCATTTTATATGCGTGTTTATTCATTCTAATATGCATATTTATTCATTCTTATAAGCATATTTATTCATTCTTATATTTGTATTTATTCTTATATGTGTATTTATTCAATCATATATGTGTTTTAAAAAAGCACAGTTCATAACAAACTTGTTCTTGCTTCCTGGTAAGCAAGGTTAAAATTATTTAAGACAAAGACTTTTACATTCAATGATGGTTTATTAAAGGTACTAACTACCTTCTTTTTCTTGCTTAATTTAGTATTAGGTCTTTGTTTAATTTTATCATTAAATTTATTGATGGATTAAATTATTATTATCTAATTATTCATTTTTCTAGATTTAAATTTAATTATTTATAATTATTATTAATACACAAGTATTTACCTTATGAATGGAAGAGAAAATAGCAGTGCCAATCAAAAAACAAGGAAAAATGTTGCAAAAGAGCACATTAAAATGCTTAAGCATTTAGTTGAAATAAATAAATCTACAGCAAGCATTTTCAGTTCTCTTAATTTATCTAAGCGCACAGTTCAAAATCTTGTTGTTAACTTAAACAGAGGAGAATTTGACGTCATGACCACATTCAAGTCTTTTTCTGATAAAAAACTAGGTAAAAGACCTAAAAACACTCAAATAAAAAAATATTGTTTAATTATGTGTACAAGAAAACAATCTTTGTACACAAGAAGCAAAATCTTTCTGCAGCAGACTCAGCCTACTATTTCGAGAAAACAATCTTTGTACACAAGAAGCAAAATCTTTCTGCAGCAGACTCAGCCAAAAATACTCAGCTATTTCGAGAAAATTCAAACGCTCAGATTTATCAAGAAAGCGTGTTGTGCCAGAAGAATAAAATTATCAAGAAAGCGTGTTGTGCCAGAAGAATAAAATTATCAAGAAAGCATGTTGTGCCAGAAGAATAAAATTATCAAGAAAGCGTGTTGTGCCAGAAGAATAAAATTATCAAGAAAGCGTGTTGTGCCAGAAGAATAAAATTATCAAGAAAGCGTGTTGTGCCAGAAGAATAAAATTATCAAGAAAGCGTGTTGTGCCAGAAGAATAAAATTATCAAGAAAGCGTGTTGTGCCAGAAGAATAAAATTATCAAGAAAGCGTGTTGTGCCAGAAGAATAAAATTATCAAGAAAGCGTGTTGTGCCAGAAGAATAAAATTATCAAGAAAGCGTGTTGTGCCAGAAGAATAAAATTATCAAGAAAGCGTGTTGTGCCAGAAGAATAAAATTATCAAGAAAGCGTGTTGTGCCAGAAGAATAAAATTATCAAGAAAGCGTGTTGTGCCAGAAGAATAAAATTATCAAGAAAGCGTGTTGTGCCAGAAGAATAAAATTATCAAGAAAGCGTGTTGTGCCAGAAGAATAAAATTATCAAGAAAGCGTGTTGTGCCAGAAGAATAAAATTATCAAGAAAGCGTGTTGTGCCAGAAGAATAAAATTATCAAGAAAGCGTGTTGTGCCAGAAGAACAAAACTCAACACGAGTTGTTGATGCACGATATGCATTTGCAAGCAAAATTGATGAAATTTTAAATGAAAAATTTATTTATTTGGATGAAACTGGAGTTAATGTGCACACCAACAGCACATTTAATTATTTGTTAAGAGGTGGGCCAGCAATTTTACAGTTGTTTGCAATTTGTGACAAGAATGCTAGTTTAATTTGTGCTGTTTCAACAATGGAAGTGCTGGCTTATGAAATATAAACTCGAGGCAGGAATGCAGATTCATTTTGTACTTTCATTACTACAATGTTGACACCAGCAATTAGGAATGCACATGTGGAAGCACCTGTGCTTATTATGGACAATTGTAAATTCCACTGGAGTATCTGCCAGCATACACTGCCAGCATACATTGCAAATTTACTTAAGTGTATATAAATATGCAATTTTCCTGCAATAATGCCAACTCTATTATATATGGTTTTAACAAAAAGCCCTCACAGTCCTAAATTAGTATAAATTAAGCTGTGGCGTGTATGCTGGAAGATACTCCAGTGGAATTTACAATTGTCCATAATAAGCACAGGCCCTTCCACATGTGCATTCCTACACATATATATATATATATATATATATATATATATATATATATATATATATATATATATATATATATATATATGTATATATATATATATATATATATATATATATATATATATATATATATATATATATATATATATATATATATATATATATATATATATATATATATATATATATATATATATATATATGTATATATATATATATATATATATATATATATATATATATATATATATATATATATATATATTTATATATATATATATATATATATATATATATATTAGGGTACAGCAAATTTTTTTTTTTTTTCTAAAAGCTTAGAAAAAGGTGTACTTTTATGTAAAATCAAGTTTTAAAGAGGGTTTCCTAAAAAAAAATTTTGATCGGAAAAAGTTTTGATACCCAAATATGGACTTTTATCCTATCTGCAGTGCAGATTCTGCATTTTTTAGAGGGAGGAGGAGGGGGTATTCAATTTTTTATGAGGCTCTAATGATTAAAAAATTTGAACATAACAGTTCTTTATACTTTCACCAAAAATAGGTGGTTTATCCCCCTATCTTACCCCAATAATATTTTGATAGAACTACTAAAACATTATTTAAAAACAAATAAAATAAAAATCTATTGAAGTTTAAAATTTAATAAAATTTCTTTCTTTGTTTTAAAAACAGGTAGCAACTCTATATGCTGAGCTCTAGCTCTAATATACCCATCTCTTGTATATGGTCCAACTACTGACATGGATGCTACTGTCACTTGTTTTGTCAGTACTGTCAATACTTTGAGTATGAATTTTAATCGAAGGAGTTATTAAAGGTATCAATCTAAGTAATAACAACTTATCTCTGGTGAGCGAACAAGTAAAAACAGGTTCTTCTACAACATCATTTTCCCATTTAACTAGCTCTTGAAGAGTAGTTGCTGCAAAGTTAAGTTTAGGTGTTTTTCTTGGTCTGATTTGCATATCTCCAAGAATATCATTACCCCTTAGATTCAAAATTCGATCAACTGCAAAATTGCGATCTTCTGCATTATTACTAGATAATAAAGAGATTAGTATACTTTCATGGTTCGCATACCAAGCCCCTAACTGGATGTAGGGAGTCACAATTTCTTTTACTCTATCAGGTTGCATTCTAAGAATTCTCAATTGAGACAGAATGTGATAAGAAGCATCTTCAAGTCTGTTTTTGACCTTTATGTCAAAAAAAAGTTTAAAGTAAAATTGTAAACAAAATACAACAAGTATTTCTAGATTTTGCGAATTTTGATCATTTAAGTTGTGTTTCCTTGTCCACATAAAGACTATTCTCATGCCAGTAGTGAGCCATCTGGCATGACTTAAGGGTCCACATTGAATTTCTCTAAGATTAGGTGGCAATAAACCAATCTTAACTGCTTTACATAACTTGCAACATTGTTTCTGATCTGTTGACATATTTTTTAATATTGTTTCTGGAATGTTGACAAAGCTCTCTCCATTTGGAAGAGCTTTAAATTGAGGATTATACTCCATTTTATTAACATCAGGAAGAAATTTTCCCACAGGACCTACAAATCCAGTACTACATGATGTTGGTCCATCAATGCCTTCTATAAGGTGACGCAAAAATAATTCATTCAAATGAAGCATGCATATGGCCCAGTGGCACTTGTGACCTAACAGCTTTTCAAGATGCGTTATAGCACCACCTTTCCAGCCTGTGTTAATTGAAGTACTGTCAGCTCCAAGTACTAAACATGATTCAGTAAGATTATATTGTTGCAGCAAATTATAAACACTTTCAGCAATCTTTTTAGCTAGCTTATCTAGATGATTAGGTGCATTTGGGGTAAAATGGCCAAGATATCGACCACCAGGTTCTATAGTCACAGTAATGTGCTGCTCTTTGATAATAATAGGATGTAGCTGTCCATTTCAATCATTTATCATTGCTCTTGTTGAGTCTTTCCTTCCGTCAAAGTAAATGGCAATATTATCTGCTTTCGGAAGTTTTAAATTATCATTTTTCTTCGCAACTACCAACACCTTTTTTCTCTCTCTCATCAACTTAGAAGGATCACAAGCAAGGTAAGAGGACTCAGGGGTGAGAAATCATGCTTCAATTAAATCTTGAAGATAACTTGTAGCAATTGCTGCAGTTGGGGCAGGTGAAATCCCAAACCTATAAAATAAGAATGGTTTATATTTATTTCTATTAACTCATATTGCTGCTCAACAAAACAATAGTCAATATAATTACCTTATACTAGCCATAGCTGTGTTTTTTATTGACATTGTGTTACATATTGACTTCTTTTCTAAAAACTGTGTTACAAGGAAAGCATAGACACCTAACTTTTCCTTTAGCAGCCTTTTAACCAAAATCTTAATTTCATTGTCTTGTTTTAAAGTTAAGTTAACATTATCTAGATTATAGTTTTCATCGAGAAAGCCAGGAAAAATATTTTTTTGATGTTCTTTATCTAATTCTATATCTTCTTCTTCTGCGACCTAAAACCAAATTAAAACCAAAATACACACACACACACACACACACACACACACACACACACACACACACACACACACACACACACACACACACACATATATATATATATATATATATATATATATATATATATATATATATATATATATATATATTATTGTTATTATTATTATTATTATATGAAAAAAGAAAATATTTATTATTAAGATTATTAAATTTATTTTATTTATTATTATTATTAAATTATATTTACCTCGAAGAATGCTTGTTCCTCCTCTATTTTTTTAATTTTTTTATTGTAAGCTTCTTCATCGCTGACTTTTCTCTTATACTTTTTTCTTAGTTTCATTGTCTCAATCTTA